GGCCGCCGCCGCCGCCCCGGGGCCGCCCGCAGGAGCCGGCGGAGGGGCCCCGCTGTCAGCCATGGCTCCCGCCTTGCGCCTCCTCCGCGCCCCCAGCCAGTAACGGCAACGGCCTCCACGCACGCGCCCGCCGGGCTGGAAGACTGAGGCCGCCCCGCCGCAGGGGCTGCTAGGAGATGAAGTCCGCTGCTGCTTTGGAGAGAAGGAGCCACAGGGGCTGCTGGGAAACGGAGTCTTTCCCTCTCCCCTTCCCCAGCTCAAGCAGACAGAGCGTCGCTGGGACGGCGTGGCCAGGCGGAGTCAGCTGCCGCTTGGCAGAGAGGTGGATGCTGGGGGTGGAATCTCTCTGCGCCCCGGAAGATAGGGTGCCGTGGGCGGTGCTGGGAGATGGAGTCTGCTGCTGCTTTGGAAAAAGGGAGCCCCGGGGGTTGCTAGGAAGCTGAGTCGCTCCGCTTCCACCCCCTCAGGAGCTGGAGTGCCGCGGGGCGTGCTGGGAAATGGAGTTTCTCCACTTCTATGCTGCTCCCCAGAGAGGTCTTCCGCGGGGCTGCTAGGATTTGGAGTCCCGTTCCTGCGAGCCGTGGGTCGGCTGGGAAACACTTCCACCCTCTCCTCCCCCTTTGCCACCCCTCCTCCTCCGGGAGCTGGTCTGAAAACACACAAAGCCCTAGTATCAAAGCTTCTGAAAAGGAGGTTGCTCCAACTGGCTTTAAAGTGGTGTTTAGACCCTTGTCAATTATTGCACCTGGATAGAAAGCATTCTAGACTATTGCACCTGGATAGAAAGCATTCTAGAATCTAAAACAGGGCCGTCCAACCCACTGCATGTCACAAATAGCGTGGGCGACCTGTGCGGGCAGGTGCGGAGGGCAGGCAGCACAGTGGCAGATAGGGCAGGGAACATGGGTGCTGAGTACACAAGGGCCCTCGCCCCCGTCAGGAAGAGGGCTGTCACTTAAAATAAATAAAACTTTACACATGTCTATCATCTTAGCCTACCCCAGGCAAAAATAAAAGATGGTGCCTACGGCAACGAGCAGAAAGCAAAGGAACGGATCAGGCAAGAAGCACAGGGCAGGGAGCAGAACACTGCATCAGGCAGGGGAAGAGGTGGCACTTGGAGAAGGTGCAGGGCTTAATTTGTGACACATTTGCCAAACAACTGGCATCCCACTGGTCTAAAGCTTGTAACTGGTTTAATGATGCTAGTGCAGTTCAGGCCTTTGTGACTACACACACCAGTGCCTGTAGTCTTTCACAAGTCACCAAAGACACGGGCTCCAAGCAAGTTACCATATTTTCTCTCATGCTATGTGCCTCCAAATATAACACACACCCTGGTTTTGAAAGGCAAAATGAAGGGGGGGTGAAAGATTTTTCCAGAGTTGTGGCTGCAGAGAACAGGGACAGAACCTATTCTTCAGCTGACTCAACCTCCCATTACCTGCATAACTAAAGCTGAATCCCTGGCTACTACCCTATTCCTAGCTCAATGCATGGATCTATGGTTTTCAAAAGAGCTAAAGAGTCTAAGCTAAAGCAACTATGAAACTGGAAACATTTATGTGGAGATGCAGACACTGATCCTATAGAACTTTGTGAGAAGAGGACTCGTGCTTTTTGCAGAAACCACTGGATCTACTAAGTGTGAGGTTGAACATGTTACTATTTCAGTAAGGAACAATGGAGACAACTCTGCCACTGCTTCCACCTGCTTGCCACTGAAAAGAGATAAGAGAACCTATGTAGGGATATTTTCAGAGATTTTTCTCTCCTTTGCACCTGCATGCTCTGTTTTCCTCCCTGTAAGAAAACCAAACTCCTTGACATACAGGTAATCCAATGAAACAGCTACAGAAAGAGCTTTGTTTTCTTGCTTCAAAAAGTGTCAATGTCCTGTTATTTCTCCAGAGCTACATGGCCAGTTGGACTGAATTGTATGATTGCAGAAATTCTTATGCCACGTTTGTTTGGCTTCCTTTGATACATTTTTAATAAGAAATCTAGAAATTTAGACAATGGCCTGTTCCTGCTCCCTTCCCACCTCTACCCCCTTGCTTCTGGCCATACTTCTCCATTGGCTAATCTATGCCTGTTTATGCTATACTTGGTAGAGAGGTGGTTCATGTCCAGGTCTATTTCAGCAGGTGTTCTCAAACAGTTTTGAAAATTGTCCTTTAATGGTGATTTTTTTTTTCTTCATGTTATGGATAAAAAAACCCTATGCACTGTACAGGACACTAGCAGATGGAGAACAGGGTTTGTAACTAATGGAGGTGAATAAGTAAGCTTAGCTATATGGTACTGGAAAATGAATGCATGCAAACATTCAAACACTAAATTGAGTGAGAGGGATGACAAAGGTGAATTTATTTGTGGAGAAGTGCTCAGAAAATACAAACTTAATTTATATGGGGGAAAGGGCAAGCAAAATGGATTGGAAGGGCAGTGGCTTGTTTGTGAGTGCTTCATATAAGCTTGATTGCTAGTGGTTGGGAACACCAACCTACTTTTTTCTGACACAATCAACTATTGTGCTAGTGTGAGAGGTTCTGTCTAGTCTCTTGTATGTAAAACACAATCACCCAGATTGATCTCATGTTATCTGATTTGTCACCATTTCTTTTTCTTCAGTGGAGATGCCACGTCTTGATGTTAAAGGGTTTATACTGGGAGGGTACAACATAAACACCACTGGACAAAGGGGTTATTGATCAATGCTCTTGTGGTTTTGAATATTTTCATAGTTTCATAGTAGCTAGGGTCAGGAGGGACCTGAACAGATCTTCTAGCCTGACCCCCCTGCTACATTCACATAACAATGAACTGGTTGACAAAAGATGAAAACTCACAGTGTGTTCTTGTCACAGGGCACTAAAGTGCCTGCTCCTTTAAGAGCAGAAACTGCCTAGGCAGAGGGCCGTAGGAGCCAGGCAGAAACCCCACAGGTGTAGATTACTAGAGCAGCAAGCTAGCAAGAGACTTATCCTATACCCACACCCGGTCAGCTGATCGGAAGAAGGAAGGGCCCTGGGCACAAATAAACCCCAGGGCTGAAGCCAGCAGGAGTTAGTTCTCTGGCAGCAGCCAGGGGAAGAAGCCTGCAGAGAAGAATTGCCCAGAGATGCTGTGGCCACCTGATATGCTTCATATAGGGCTGATGGAGCTCCAGGAGCTCACCAGGTACCCTGGCCTACAAGTCACTTAATGCTGAGGGGGGAAGTTTGACTCTTTTAAAGGGACAGAATGCACCCTGAACTACTTGTATTATGTTATAGCCCAGGGGAACATATTTTGGTTGTTGTTTATAAACCGGTGGACTGGACTGAGGCTATTGGGGAGGAGGAGGCCTCATTGGGGCCACACTATGGTGTGGAGACCCCAGGGCCAGTGGGTGCAGTGCCAGTGTGGGCGCACAGTCAGGGCTGCGGACATCCCAGTGCCAGTGTGGATGCAGAGAGAAGGCTGTGGAGAGCCCAGCGCCAGTGTGAGTGCAGAGACAGGGCTGCAGAGAGCCCAGTGACAAAGGAGAGGCTGAGCTACATCAAGGCCTCAGAGGGACAATGTTTAAATACCATCTGCGAGGCTTGGGGCATGGTAAAGGAGTGGTTTTGGAGCTACGCTTATAGCCCATAAAGCTAAGGGTGTCCCAGGAGGCATCCATTTTGAGCGGGACCCAAAAGGGGTCCAAGAACCCACAGGGTTCAGTACGGTCCATCAGGACCGTGTCCAAACACAAACTCAAGGGCAGCCTCCCTATTTATTATAATTACCAGCAAGACGTGGCAGGAGAGAAAAAGGGTGCCCGTTGGGCAAGATTGGCATGGTCTTGGAGCCCTCAGGGTGTCACGGCCATCCCTAGGAACCGCACACTGTAACAGTTCTTTATAAGAAGGTTCTTTTATTAAGTATCTATCTAAACTTTTTACATTGGTTTCTCTTGTTTCTTAGGTACCACCGTATCCTGGGCGGCAAGAAGTGACAGGAGCCTGTTCCTCAAACTACTGTTCAAGCTTTTTTTAGTAGAGGTAAGTATTATGTCCCAGCTACTTTTTTTTTTTAAGAGTGTCAGTCCAATAAAAAAAAAAGTGCCTTCTCTTTTAAGTCTCTAAATGATGTCAGGCTTATCGTTTCTCCTTTTTTTTTCTGTTTCTTCTTTATAATGTTGTTCTAGCCTGACTCACCACTTGAAAAGAAATATAAGAAAAGTTTTACTTTGCACTATAGGATTCAGTCATCTCTTGTGTTTCTTGAAGTTGCACTGGCTCCCAGATCACGTTCCCGACAATGAATCCTATGTCAGCATCTCCTGTTTCATTGCAGTTCTCCAGCTTCCCCAGCCAGCTATCATTCCACTCCCCTTCGCCCCTGCATTCCCAATTGGATTGTCTCTCATTCCGACATATCCTGCCTCCTTCCCTGTTTTCATCTAGGGCTCTTCTGCTGTCTCTCTCTCTAGGTCCACTCTAGCTTCATCAAGCAGCTGCTCAGAAATGCGGCTCCCTCTTTTCCTTAACTGGTTCTTGCCAGTGTTCAGTTCGTACCATCACTGGCTCTCTATCTTCATGACAGCTAGATAGCTATTCTTAGGAAACAAATGGAAGATATAATCTGGCAAAGGATGTGAGAGGTCACAGGTAACATGGGGCTGCCTTGCATTTTGTACTGGAGAGATCACAACAGTTGGCACCTTTTAACATGGAATCCTTCTGATCAT